GCAAGTGTCCCGCCAGCAGATCTTTTGGCGAGGGAAAGGGAAGAAATGTTTCTCTTTTCTAAAGAAAGCAGTTCCTTGGATGAGGAAATAAGACCAAGCAAGGACCTGATCCGCAAAGAAGCGAGGCACAGGCTCATAGAAAGATGGCAATAAAGATGGGATGGTGAGGGAAAAGGTCGATGGACTTATCGCCTTATCCCGGCACTCGCCACCTGGATAAATAGGAAACACGGTCAGGTTTCCTATTATATGACTCAGACGCTCACAGGTGACGGGTGTTTTAACTCGTACCTGTGTCGCTTTAAATTAGGGTACGGTCCCATGATGAGCAGAAAACACAATGCAAAGCAGAATTTCGTGAGAGTGGAAAGGATAGTGATATCTGACTTTCTCTTTTGCACTCACGAAATTCTGCTTTGCATTCTGTTTTCTGCTCATCATGGGACCGTACCCTTACGCGAGGACGAGGTGTGTGCATATTGACAGTTCCCTGAGGACAACGCGGAGCACACCCTCTTCTCATGCAAGAAATGGGACTTGGAGAGGCGGGCCATGTTTGAAGGTGTAAACAGTCAAGTTACACCGGAGAACATGGTATCGCTGATGACCCAGTCAGAAGACAATTGGCGGCAAGTCGAGAACTTCATAATCTCGGTTATGTCGAGGAAGGATCTCGACGGCCGCCAAAAAGCGTAATTTAAACAGCTTTTAATTCGTTTGTTTGTTTTTATTAATTTATTTTGTGACTTCTTTGTCCTTATACATTTTTTAATTGTTTGTGTTTTTTATTCATCTTTGTACAGTTTTATGTTTTCAATATTTTATACGCGTTTATTTTTTCTTTTTTTTATATATCCGTTTGTAATTTTATCTTTTGACTTTTTAAACTTCTTAAAAATTTTTGTTTTTTTTTATTATTGTCGTGCTGTAAATTCCGCTTAGACTATGAAATAGTTTTAATCATCTTTTTAACTACGGACGCAGGAAAACCGCAGTGAGAAGAAGAAGGTCGCATTAGCGACAGAGTTGGAGCGCCACCCTCGAAGGCTAAAGTCTTACGACAGTTCCGAGGGAGGGTAAAGGGCTCCAGAAGAAGGGTTACGGGTTTTAGTGGGTCGGGCTGGTAGTAGGTCGCCAGTGTATTAAATTTAATTTTTTATAGATTTATTTTTCTTTTTTTTTATTTTCTTTTGTTTTATCATACCAACCCCACATAACCTTGGAGCGCGGAATCCAAGGTATCTGTAGGCAGATTTCCCAAAAGTCCCTAAGCAAAAAAAAAAAAATAATAATAATAATAATTTAATAATTATTCAATAACAACAATAATAATAATAAATGTAATCTTTGACAATAAAAGGTAATTTTAAAATTAGATAAAGAAAGAAGATAAAGAAGAACTTCTATTTAATATATCTTGATTCCAAGTATTAAAACTGTTTATATTACTTGTTTGATTATTCTCATATACAAAATAATCAGTAATAATCACTATTTAAAATTATTAATCGCCATAAGAATGAAAATGTAACAATTATATAAGAAATACTTGAATTATGAGAATAAAACTTAAAAATTTTCTCGCCATTCATGTTTACCAACCAATAAGATTACTTGTACCTTAAGAGAAAGATTTTTTTTTCTACACAAGTGTTAGTTTAGCGTAGTTGGTTAGGTAGTTGCGTTGCGTCCGTTGAAATCCGCGTTCGATTCCCCGTTCCCCCGAATTTATTTTCAAGTTTGTCTTCTTTAATATTAGGTTTCCAAAAACAAAAATACGTAGAAACAACTGCGGGAAAAGTATAAAATAAGTAAATTAAATAATTTTTAAAATTTTATTTTTATAAAAAAATCCCATTTTGTGTAACTATTAAATATTTATTATTATTACGATTATTATAAATATTATTATTATTATTTTAAATAATAATTAATGTAAAATTAACAGAAATAATTTTAGAGAAACTTCCAAAAAAAACTTCCTTAAATTTTTTAGGATTAAAAATTTAAAATTACAATGATAATTTCCTGGAAGTTAACAGCGGAAACTTTAAATCTTGAGACATATCAAGTTTTCTGGAAGTTTCCAGGAACTTAACACGACAAATTTCCGAACTTAACATGGAAAATTTCCTGGAAACTTCCCGGAAAAAACTGTGCAATGTGGGCGATCTACAATTTTTCGGGGTCAATATGTCCCATCGATAAACAAAACTAAGAAAGAGAAATGTCAAGGTAAACTGAAAAGACAGCTGATTATAAATCCTTCTTTTCATCGAGAAAATGAGTATAATAACTACTAAGTTTTAATGTGTCATCTTTTTTATTAATTGAATTTTTTTTTAAGTTAATGTGGATCATTTCAGAAATTAAGCGTTTTTTAAATGAACCTTCTTTATCTAGTACTAAAAATCCATCCCAATCAAAATCATGACCAAGTGAATTGATATGTTCAGCAACAACATTTGTTTTTGAAATTTTGTGCTCATTAATACGAACACCCACCATTCTTTTCGTTTGTCCAACATAAGATGCAGAACAGTTTTTGCATCCTATTTTATATACCGAGTTTGTGATTTCAGATTTTTTACTTTTATCTTTTCCTTTAATTACCAAGTTGTGATTCATGTTCTTATTTTTGGTTGGAATAGTTAGAATATTGTACTTATTTAGGAAAGATGAAGTTTTTTCCTAAAGATTGGGAACATAAGGCAAGAAAACTTTCATCAATTTCTTGTCAATTTCTTTTCAACAACACATTTTTTAAATTTAACAACAAATATTATCATCACATATATGGTACACCTATAGGCTCATCCATTTCTGGATTGTTTGCAGATATTGTCATGGATGACCTCGAAACGGTTTGTAATGATAAATTACACAGGTCCACAAAAAAAATCGATGAAAGGTTCCTTTCACCAAACATGGTGTATTATATGTATTTTAGGCCGCTGAAACCGAATCTGAAGTCCGTTTGGCTCCATCACGTCAGGATTTTTTCCTAACCTCAAAATACATGTCGAATTTTGCGTGATAGAAAAAAATTTTAAAATATTAACGGATTTAGCTTAATTTTGGGATAGAGGAATTTTGTGGGGTCCCTGATTACGAAATTAAAGGCAAATTTTTAAAATACAAAATGGCGGATCCAATATGGCGGTAAAAATTTTCAAAAAACTCTTGAATTTTCAAAAAAATTTTCAATTTTCAAGAAATTGTTCAAATTTTATAAAATTTTGTATCGAGGGATTTTTGAGGTCACTGATTACGAAATTAAAGGTAAATTTTCAAAATAGAAAATGGCGGTAAAAAAAAAATTCTTGAATTTTCATAAAACTTGGTACCGAGGGGTTTTTGGGGTCGCTGATCACTTATTTAAAGTCAGATTATCAAAATACAAAATAGAAAATTCAATATGGCTGTCGGATGTATAACAATTTCTTTAATGTTCACAAAACTTGGTATCTAGAAGTTTTTAGGGTCGCTGCCTACAAATTATATCGTGTGCCTGCTTCCACGAGCGACCCCAAAAACCCCTCGGTACAAAGTTTTATGAAAATTCAAGAATTTTTTTCTGACCGCCATTTTTTATTTTGAAAATTTACATTTAATTCCGTAATCAGTGACCTCAAAAATCCCTCGATACAAAATTTTTTAAAAATTGAAGAATTTCTTGAAAATTGAAGAATTTTTTGAAAATTTTGCCACCATATTGGATCCGCCATTTTGTATTTTGAAAATTTGCCTTTAATTTCGTAATCAGGGACCCCTCTAAACCCCTGTATCCCAAAATTAAGCTAAATTCGTTAATATTTTAAAATTTTTTTGTCATGCAAAATCCGACATGTATTTTGAGGTTAGGAAAAAATCCTGACGTGATGGAGCCAAACGGACTTCAGATTCGGTTTCAGCGACCCAAAATACATATAATACACCATGTTTGGTCAAAGGAACCTTTCATCGATTTTTTTTGTGGACCTGTGTTATCGTTTAAACCGATTTTCTTTTTTAGGTTTGTTGACGACAATATTGCTTGCATACCGGAAAATAGAGTTCATGAGATGATTGACACATATAATAATTATGACGAGAGACTACAATTTACATACGAAACTGAAATAAATAATACAATTAACTTCTTAGATGTTATAATTAAAGAAAATAATAAACTTATAACTGACTGGTATAAAAAACCAACTTTCTCCGGACGAACAATTAACAATGAATCAAAACATCCTTTTTCTCAAAAAATTGCCATAGTATCCAATCTTGTCGATAGGGCAATAAAGCTTTCGAATAAAAAATTCCATAAGAAAAATATTGAATTTGTCGAAAAAATACTAATTAATAATAATTATCCCATCGAATTTATTAATAAGCACATTAAGAAATGCATGTGTTCTATTGAGTCAAATTCACAATGTAACAAAAGTAATTCAGTTTAAAAAAGAATATTAAAGCAATCAGAAGCACCCAAAATTTTATAAGATTATTCAAACATGAATTAAAAACGTTTATTATTTTTTGGTTAAGTTACAAATATCATGTTCATTAAACTTAAACATATATCTTATTTACATAATGTAATTACTGCATTGATTATTCCCTTTTATTATTTTACTCATTGTTAATCAATAAATCTCACTTTGGAACTTACTTTCGGAAAGACACTTTTGTATAAAATTTAAGCATGCAAAAATTTGGTAAGTTTGACATTTAATATAATAACAAAAATAATTGCTTTTCCAAAATAAAACCCGGTTTCTGTTACTCTAATATATAAACAAACCCAGTAGCACGTAATTTTCCAGTAACATTGACAACATTGAGATAATATTGCTAATGTTAAAGCAGTGTTCTCAATATTGCTGTAATATTACGTGCTACTGGGGAACCGATTTTCAAAAAGAAAACAAATTTTAAATCTATCGAAAATTTGAATTTTGAATTTGAAAAGGTCCTATATTCCTGTAATAAAGTTAATTTGATGTACTTACAGGCCAATTTGACGTTACCGACAGCATAAGCCGAAGCAGCTCGAGGTTTATGCGTTACAAGAGCCAATTCTCCTAAATAACCGCCTGCAGGGATGCGATTTACCTGTTTGCGATAGAAATTAGTTAAATTTTGTAATAAAATAGTGGTTATGGAAAGTTATAAGTAATTTGAAGTTGGTTTACGAACACCAATCAAATCGAAAATGATTTGATTCTTCTTTAAGTTAGTTGAAAAAAATTTTATCGACAGATCTAAGACAACTTCAAGTTGCGTATAGGGGCGTTTGATGAGCAGGGCAAACTGTGAATCTAAGATTTTCTTCATACTTTGCCATTTTGTTGTCTTAGGGGTCATTTGTAAGTTGCAAAAAAAATAAGTAATTTATTTTTAAACAATGATTTTTACATATTTTTTTTACTCGAAGTCCTTAAAATTTTTTCTCCAAAACATATTTAAATTAAAAATTCTGCAAAGAGGTGTTTTTTGATATTCGTGAGAAATTAATTTTTTAATTTTACGTTGCACGGTTTATAACCGTTTACAAGTTTATATGGATATACTTTGTAATGATATTCACAAATAAAAATAATTAAAATTCAATTAGCAAGTGTGTAATTTATATTACTTCAAATCTCCGTCCGTTTTTACAAAATTAACTTTTACAAATTAAAATATTTCAATTTAATAATTCAATCATCTCTTTATTTATATGCATTCACACCATTCACTTCACAAAAAATACATTCACACATACACACACAAATAATCTTTCCTCTAATATATACAATGTCCGTCAATAGTTACCAAATCAAGTATTAATTGAATATATTTATAAATAATAGTATTGCAACGTGCACTTACTATATATGCGAATATGGTACCTTACTCATATATAAACGAATTTTCTCTCGAATTGTTCACTGATCCTTCCGCATCTCATTCACAACGTTTCGCTCACTTTAAGGGGAGGGTATAGTATTTTAGCTTTTTTTTTATTTTTTTTATTTTAATCTACAATATTTCAAGAGTATTGTGTGAAAATTGGAAGCAGATCCGAGCAAAACTGACGGATGATCCATCTTCGACTTACAGTGAACACCGCAAAATGGTTTTTTTTAAGGCGTCTTCGGAAATCGCGTGTTAATCAGTTCCTTCTCATCATATAGCTTTTAAATTTTGACTAAATTATCTTTAAATGATGTACTATAAATGTAAAATTTGTCCAATACACTGGCTCTAACCAGAGCGCCGAAAAAAATCACGAAAACATGCCATTTTTTCACAGAATTAACTATACCCTCCCCTTAATGCAAGGAAAATGGTCCAAATATGATCCTCTATGAAGCAATGTCAATCAATCAATCCATCAATAACTGGCTAATCGTTCACCGATCCTGTATTCCAATGTTGATTATTCACCTCCCAGTAATAAAGGGTGAATTAAAGTGGATTGGTACTTTTATGCTCTTAAATTCCAAACCAATTCCGTTTTTGTCCGCAATCTTAATGAATTCCTTTTCTATTGTTAAATTGATTATTTCTATCCAATTCAATTCTCTGTAACCACGTGACCAGAATTTGAAACCCCTTCAATGCCCTTTAAAGAATTCAATGTTAATTAAAAGGCACTAACTCTACTACAAATGATTCCCTTAAACGGCATTAAAGTGAATTCAGACTCTGGTCACGTGGTTACAGAGAATTGAATTGGATAGAAATTATCAACTTAACAATAGAAAAGCAATTCATTAAGATTGCGGACAAAAACGGAATTGGTTTGGAATTTAAGGGCATAAAAGTACCAATCCACTTAAATTCACCCCTTATTACTGGGCTGCTTACTTCGAGATTTTTATCACCAATTGTACGGCCATTAACATCGGATGAAGCAATTGAAGCAATAACTTTATTCTGTTGTATTATACTTGAATTTGATAATACGTGTGTTCACAGTCGTTATTTCTTTAATTGAGCCCGCGCATGCAATAACAGCAAGTGCGCTCGGGCTGTTTTTCCTAATCGCTGTATCTACTTCAAATTGCGAGGTGGGGACTAAATCTGGCCAATAAGGAGACTAGATTTTTTCCTCTTCTACTCCTCTCAAAGTAGATATTGCGGTTGGGAAAGTCAGACCGAGCGCACTTGCTGTTATTGCACGCGCGGGCTCAATTACTGATCGTCGCGCTTTTACTCAATTTACAAATTTCATTTCCCCCGTAATTATATCCCTTCCTATTCTCTAATCCAACTCACTCACATTCCTACACTTACATTTACACGCACTCACACATCCATATTGCTACAACTTTTGTATTTGCATCTTCGTTTTTGTGATTATATACAATTTTTTATCAATATTTATCGAAACTTAAAAATCTTGTTGTTACATTTTTGGTTTTCAAAATTAGATAAGTATTTATAGAAGGTGTAAAATATTAAATTTCAATTTTTAATAAGAAATTTTACTTCTTTCAAAATTAATGAAAGTCAGTGAAATTCTCAACAAGCAAGGTGCTAGAAATTTTCAATGACTGCTTTTGAAACTCTCTTGCAGAACTGCTAGAATATTTCTAGTACTTTGTGTCGTATCCAAAAGTCAAGCACGGAGTCAATTAAAATTTTACGTACTTTTTTGCCGTGTATAGTACAACCTGCTATTAAAATTATTCATTTCCAGACTACATGTAATTACTTCTGAATTCTAGTTTTTAGAAGTAAATTTTCTTCTGTAATAATCGAGTAATAATATAAGTTACTTTGGAGATACAAATTTTTAATAGAAAATTTCACTGTTTATTGATGAAATCTTACTACAGTTGGGCCTTCGAACTGTACGCTACACGCGCTCGACCAAGGGAGGCTATGATTCAATATATATTCAAGAAACATTGGTTCCTTGCCTTAAAATATCGGAAAATTTTAGTAAAAAACTGGATTCTGAACTGTCAAGTCATAGATATATTTTCGTCTTGAAACTTTAAACTCGTTTTTCTCAAAACTACGTTTTTAAGTCGGTGTACACGATATCTCAAAAACCGCTGAACCGATTTGGCTCTTTTCAGACAAGCTCTTAAACTACATTTTGGCTCAACAACTTTGTTGTTATTATGCATTATTATTTGTCAGGTGGTCAGACTAGACTATTTTAAATTGATTTCGATCTTGTGCAATGGAAAAATAAAAGGATTTTTTACAAAAAATATTGTAAATTGTTAACTTTGAGTAACAAAAAAATAAATAAACAATTATAAATTCCAAAATCGGTTTAAAGGGATCTCTTAGAAATTTTATCCCCTTTCATTTAAGACCAAGAACATCAAAATCCAATAAAATTTGTAGGCTCTAGAAAATTTTGAAGAGTAAAGTGTAAAAAATCTCACTGTGACACAGGTGCGAATTTAGGTTGGCCGCCAGAGTTTGAAGGTTGGCCAAAGGTTGGCCTAACTTTGGCAAGCGAAGTTTTGGTTGCCAGAATTTGCCCAACTTTGGCAAGTACTAGTGCCCACAGTTGGCCCGACTTTGCAAGCCAACCATTAAATGCAGAGTTTAACCAACCGTCGGGCCAACTTTGGCGACAAAGGTTGGCACAACTCATCAAAACGTAGTTTAAAAGACTTTCAGTTTCGGTTGGCCGAACTCTGGGCCACGGTTGGCCCGACGGTTGGCAAAACTCAAGAAAAGCAGTATAATTGACTTATAGTTTTTTGGTCGGACGAACTCTGGGCCACGGTTGGCCCAACAGTTTGCAAAACTCTAGAAACGCAGTTTCATTGACTTAAACTTTCTTGGTCAGCCAAACTCTGGGCCACGGTTGGCCCGACGGTTGGCAAAACTTTGTGAAACGCAGTTTAATTGACTTACATTATTTTGGTCGGCCGAACTCTGGGCCACGATTGGCCCGACGGTTGGCAAAACTTTGTCAAATGCAGTTTAAATGACTTAAACTTTCTTGGTCGGCCGAACTCTGGGCCACGGTTGGCCCAACGGTTGGCAAAACTTTCTCAAATGCAGTTTAAATGACTTAAACTTTCTTGGTTGGCCGAACTCTGGGTCACGGTTGGCCCGACTGTTGCAGCTTTAATATACATGTAACGTTATGTACTCCCATGTGAGCGTAGCGTAGTGGTCAGTGTATAAGTCTTCGGTGCGTTAGGTTAGAGGTTCGATCCCAGCGAGCGTTAGATATTTTCGAAAATGTATGTATGAGATTCCCAGGTGCGAATTTAGGTTGGCCGCCAGAGTTTGAAGGTTGGCCCAAGGTTGGCCTAACTTTGGCAAGCGAAGTTTTGGTTGCCAGAGTTTGCCCAACTTTGGCAAGTACTAGTGCCCACAGTTGGCCCGACTTTGCAAGCCAACCATTAAATGCAGAGTTTAACCAACCGTCGGGCCAACTTTGGCGACAAAGGTTGGCACAACTCATCAAAACGTAGTTTAAAAGACTTTCAGTTTCGGTTGGCCGAACTCTGGGCCACGGTTGGCCCGACGGTTAGCAAAATCAAGAAAAGCAGTATAATTGACTTATAGTTTTTTGGTTGGCCGAACTCTGGGCCACGGTTGGCCCAACGGTTGGCAAAACTTTGTCAAATGCGGTTTAAATGACTTAAATTAAACTTTCTTGGTCGGCCGAACTCTGGGCCACGGTTGGCCCGACGGTTGGCAAAACTTTGTCAAATGCAGTTTAAATGACTTAAACTTTCTTGGTCGGCCGAACTCTGGGCCTCGGTTGGCCCGACTGTTGCAGCTTTTATATACATTTAACGTTATATATTTCCATGTAAGTGTAGCATAGTGGTCAGTGTATAAGTCTTCGGTGCGTTAGGTTAGGGGTTCGATCCCAGCGAGCGTTAGATATTTTCGAAAATGTATGTATGAGATTGTGTTTAATAATAATAGGTAAAGGTTATATCTGATGTTCCCGCTAATAATAACCTGTTAATTGTTTAAATATGGTATGGTTGGCCCAACCTCTGGCACGAGAAGTTGGACCGACTTTGTAAAAGTTGGCCCAACTATGGGCCGATCAAAAAATCGCACCTGGGTTGTGGTTAATAATAATAGGTAAAGGAACTATTAGCGGGAACATCAGATATAAATCTGATGTT